AAAAAAAAAAAAAAAAAAAAAAAAAAAAAAAAAAAAAAAAAAAAAAAACCTTCATATATGAATAAACTTCAATAAACCCATCGATTCCTCTGTTTCAGGACGAATAGAAGAAGTTTTTTTTCTTTCCCTTTTCTGATATTTGACTTTTGTTTAGTTCACCGTATTAGTCCCGATCCCCATGGGCACTCTCCCCTGGTTTTATCACATTACAGGTTGTACCAGGGTAGCACGACGCAAATGTATGGTGTGTGTAGTACGAGTATGTACACCCACATACGTGTACTCCAAACGCGTGCATGGGTGCCTAAAAGAAAAAATAGAAATCATTAAAAAAATGATATCTTATGCAGCACTACAATAAAAAAAATTTGGTCCTTCAGGAGGACATCTGTTAAATTTGGAGCAATACAGAAAGAAGATTATCATGGCCCCTGTGCAAGGATGACGCGCACATATCGAGAAATGGTCCACAAAAAAAAAACAAAAAAAAAAAACAATAAAAACTGAAAACAGGTTTTGCTCGGGTGTCGTCTCCACATTCTTAGCCAGACTCAGAAAACAAAAAGTTCAACGCTAAAAAAAAAGAATTATAATAATAGTATTATAATACCAAAAAAAGTAAAATCTCATACGCGTCCTCACACACGTCGCTTACTTGAGCACGCGTAGACAACAACATACTCACCACCCACTCCACTGAGAAAATATATTCCATGCTTCCTACCCCAAAGCTATCCCCTCTTCAGTTCTCTAACTGCTTACCTAACCGGATGCCAGATGGAAACTAATCGTACTTACTGATAAAACTTAAAAACTCTCACCCAGTTGCGCCGGAATGCGGCAAAGATACAATCATTGCAACATTCTCTCTCTCTCTCTCTCTCTCTCTCTCTCTCTCTCTCTCTCTCCTCTGCTGGCCATCCATCTGAAAACGAGGCACAGCACGGACGACTTGTTGCCTGATCTAACGTCTACAACAATGTCGACGTAAGAATTCTTCAATACGGATTCCTGATAATGTAATCGACTGGAGATGAATTAAAAAAACAACACTCACTTGCACATCCTATGCATAAAAAAGGAAAGAACTAAACTTTTTTGTGGTTTCCTGCTGATAACCTACTTGTCCCAACGTATGGCATTCCCTTAGAAATCTAAGCGAAGAAGGACCTCGTACTTCCGAGGTGTTCCAGCACATAGCGAGATTACGAGGCTCCTATTCGAACCTCAGGATGCTTTTTGGACTTTATCTTCATCTCTTGTGATTGAGAAATGAATGGTGGTTCTCGACGACGTTGGTAGCCAAGCAACACGTTGCTTGTACAGCTTCCGTACGACTCGGCCAATTCCAAGCTTAAAAAACAAAAACCTAAGTCCGGAAAGGGAAAAAAAAAACAGGAACAGCGTTCAACATACCGCTAGAGCCAATTGATGATGACACAGCTACAGCCACGTGGCGGAAGGGATGCCCAAGCTCGGAAGCCATGTGTCTCCGGAGACAAAACGGTCGACTGTGTACGCCTCCGCATCTTTATCCGGCAGCTCTCGAGACCATGGCACTCGGGCTGATCTGCCTGACCCAGGGCCCGAGTTGAGGTACTCATAAAACTCAACCGTTTTGTACAGGTTCGCATCCCCTGCCCCATATCTCCATTCCCGCCATCCGGCGAGTTCGACGCGCCCTAGAACACTCAGCAGAAGCGCCGTTCGGGAAAAGGGTTTCCAGGCCGGTCTCAGGAATACTTTCCGATACGGCTGTGGTTCCCCCAAAAAAACCGAGGAGTTCGTCTCCAGTTCTCCCTCCACGCCGCACTTGCGAAAGACGAAACCGGTCGGTTCATGTGCGCTCGTCCTTCCTTGTGCACTGATTATACTCGTCCCGTTGAAGTCTGGCTGACTGTGCACCTTGCACTGTTCGAACACTGCGGCGGCGTTTCCAAAAATATAGTCCTCCGACCCCATTATGTCGCAATCGTAGTAAAACTGCCAGCCTGTGTGCGCGTACAGGACACTGTGGTACCCTTGGAATTTGCACGATACGAATGCTGCCATCCCGACACTGCCCGGGATGTCTGCGCCAGAAATTGCGCTCGTTCTCTGAGAAACACGCATCGCCACAGCTGGGTTCTGTCTGTCATTCTTAACTGGGTCATTCGCAAAGGTGAGATCGATTGCAAGGAACCCCCGAGCTTCGACAACAAAGCTAGAAGCTTCCAAATTCCCTCCCAGGATTCCGAAGTCGTGGTACGATATCCTGGTTCTTTCAGCTCCTTCGCCAATCAGGGTCAAACCCCAGAGATCCTTGGGGATAAGGACTTGTTCAGTGTAAACACCCGCGCGAACCCTGATGACTATGCGTTCTTTTGTTGTTGCCCGCTTGGTAAGCGCCTTCGAGATCGCAGAGGTTAAGTTGCGGAACTCGCCAGTTCCATTGCTGCCAACAGTGAAATGCGCGTCTAAGTCCCGTCTGACTTTCTCTGCCTCCGCCAGCAGCCGCCGCCTCAACAGTTTCCGTCTCCTTCCACTGAGCTTCTCTCCTCCGCGCGCGTCGGCAAGGATTTCGTCTGTCAACGCAAGCGCGTTCCCCAGGTGGAAGGCCACCAATTCAGTAGCAGGCAGTCCCTCTGCCAAGGTGGCACTTCCATCTCCAGTCAAATTCTCCAGCAGCAAAAGTTGGTCGGCGCAGTCTGTGTTGAATGTCCTCACTGCCGCAAGAACAATCTGTGCATCCCGGATATTACCAGAAGCAATGAGGCCAACTGCTTCATCAAGAGACTCTGGGCCATCGTACAGGGTCCGATTACACGCTTCCGCAGCCGCTACTGACAGGTTTGATTGCTTCAAAACTTGCATCGCAGACAATAGTACATTCATCGGAGCTTTTGTGGCATTGATAACCTTTATAGGAAAGTCTGGGAGGTCAGATGGCCCAAAAGGGGTGTTGTCATTTACACCTAGCATTACCGTCGATTTACATAAAGTTATATTATCCGCTGTCGAACAATATTGTTCAGATGCAGCTGACATGGTCTTTGGTGTCCTCCTCCTGGCATACGCACGACCACGCCTCCTATCCCCAACAACTGCTATGGGAACTACTATGATCACAATCAGCACAGCGATGATAAGTGCAACAACCATGATCATCTTCAGTCGTTTCCGGCCTGGTCGCCCTCGTCGCTGTCCCTGACCATCTTGAACCCCAAAGGGGGTGCGATCTGATTCTTTCGAGGGGTCCATGTTGCCAAAACCAAACCTCTGGGAGCGCGGGGTTCCCAACGCTTTCTCGTTTGCCTGCAGGAAAAAAAAAAGCTGCAATATATATCACAGACATACTGCCATCAGCTTCTTCACCACACCTCATGCCCACCTTAACCAACTCGTCATCTCACTGATTTATGCACCCTCTCTTCCAAGTTCTCCGGAAGCATCCATTAGAATCAAACAAAGCAGTGGTACAAGGTTAGGGGTCTTAGAAAAAGAAAAAGAAAAAAAAAGGTTAGGGGTCTTAGGACATGTCTCACGGACTGCAGGGATTGGTAGTCGTTCCAACTAAGAGGAATCCTAACACCTGCCACTAAAGGGCAACGGATTTGCGATATCATCTTTGAACAGACAGGCCCCAGGTAATCCAGAAACATTTCAATCTAGTGATCTGGTCGCATCTGGATTCGAACTAGGGGTCTGTCTTTAAACGGTCCATGGGTGTACCAACTGAGATAGGCCCCTTGGTTACCTGACACACGCCGCAAAACAGAAAACGCATAAAATTTTCGTGCCCTGAGCTCGGTCGTGCGAACTGGTGCTCACGGAGATCATATTCGTCGGAGCAACAGGCGTCCAAAAAAAAAAAAAGCTGGCTTCCTAAAACTCGCGTACCACACTCTGTTATAACTTATACAGAGTGACACAACTCCAGCTCAACCTCCCATCTCTCAACGCATGCACGCACTTCTCATGGCTCAAGATTCGACCTGCTGTGCCTGACTTACCATGTGCCAGCTGGTATCCTCGTTCTACACTCTGGCTAAAGCAAATGTCTGACAGAGTATAGCTCCACGCATGTAAAAGACACCAGGCCTACACTTTAGCAATTATACTAGTGGACAACTCACAAGCATACAAATTGCCAACTGAACAAATTAACAAGCAGATGGAAAGGCATACGGAAAAAAGATGGATAGATCAATGGCTGGCTGGACATTCAGAATGCGCAGCAATGGATGGATGGCAGGTATTAAGGCAGGCAGGCAGGCAGACACGCAGGCAGGGAGGGAGGGAGGGAGAGAGGGAGGGCGGGAGGGAGGGAGGAAGGGAGGAAGAGAGGGAGGGAGGGAAGAGGCAAGGAAAGGCAAGAAGAGGAATAAAGAGGCAAGGAGAGGCAAGAAGAGAAGAAAAGGCAAGGAGAGGCAAGAAGAGGAGGAAAGAGGCAAGGAGAAGCAAGGAGAAGCAAGAAGAAGCAAGAAGAAGAAGCAGAAAGAGGCAGAAAGACAAAGGAAGAGGAACAGAAAAGAGAAAGAAAGAATATGGACAAGGAAGGAAGAAAAAGGAAGAGGAACAGCATGATGAGGCAGGCAAGCAGCACGACAAAGGAGTGCAGAAATGGGAAGCACGGCAAGAAACGAAAGGGAAAGAGGGGGAAAGAGGCAGAAAGACGAAGGAAAAGGAAGATAGAGAATGGACAAGGAAGGAAGAGAAAGAAAGAGAAAGGAAGAGGAAGAGCATGAAGAGTCAGGCAGGCAGGAGTCAAAGGAACAAATGAAAGGGATGGAGGAAGGAGTCAGATATTGTTGTTTTTTATAAAGCTTGGGGTGTGTGTGTGTGTGTGTGTGTGTGTGTGTGTGTGTTATAGGTTTTCCACACAACAGCCCCAATTCCACCCAGATGAATAGTTTCAGAATCAAAGCAGTCTTTGTCCTATTGCAGACACCGAGAGCATTTGAGATGTCCAACATATTAAAGCAATTTTATAATTAGACAGTTTTTTGGTTGTCCTTGGGGTACCCTTTTCATTGTTCTTGCAGCTCCCCTTTTACTGTGCCTCTTACGCACAAGGCTGCCCACGTTGATTGTGGTTGAGTGGCAGCTGCCCACATCCGCGTGTGCCTTCACGGCCCACTTGCACGTTATTTCAGGAGGCAGAGTAAAAGGGAAGGTATGCTCCTGTGCATTTCTCCTCAGAGCTTCATACTCCTGTTCATTTCACTTCAGATCTTCAGCTTATACAGTCTTTGTGTCCGTCCTTCATCTTCATACTTCTGTGCATTTCATTTCTGACCTTCATATCGTCTGTTCTCTTAATGATGCTCATTCATATGTATTTGTTTGTAGCACGAAGGGAGTGGAGGAGAGAGCGGGTGGAGGGTAAGGGATAGAAGGCGGAGTTCTATAGGAGGACGGGGCAGGGGAGGTACAGGCAACGGGAAGGAAAGAACTATGCGGAGGGCGTGTGTGTGTGTGTGCGTGTGTGTGTACGTATGTGTGTGTGTGTGTCTTCCACTGTCAGCACGACAACCCCTTTTCCACCCAGATGAGTAGATCCAAAATTGAACCATCTTGACCTTACAATCTCCGATCAAGTTGTATACTGTCACATATGGAACAACTAAAAGAGCGCACTTCGCGAAGCAAACGAAAAAAATAGCAGACAACATTCAGCACACTAAAACCGTTGTTTTGCCTTTTCCTGTGCAGTTCTTTCTTCTCTTGCCTGACTTTGTATTTCTTCATGGTTTCTGTGTGGGTTTTGGATTTTCACCAGAACAGCCTGTTATGTGCCTGGTTGAAAACGAATCCAGCATGGCATTCACATGTCTCCATAGACATGCGCAATGACAAGTAGACTTGGAGAGAGCAATCCGCACCAAACCAGATGATGAGAAGACACAGCAGAATCTCACAAATCCCCAAAAAAAGAATTGATCTCACTCAATTCTAATTAATACCGTTTCCCCCCAACTCGATCAGCAGCACGGATTTCCAAGAGTCCCAACCACGTTACAACATCCATGAACGAATCAGGAACAGAGTTTCGTCAAAATAACTGGGAGCCTTCTTCTTCCTCCCTCGACATCAAGCTCCAGGTGTGATGCAGATATCCGCCCAACCCATCGAGCCCGCCAATCGCCACACGACGCTCCTGAATCTGACACGCCACACTCTGCACCACACACGAAGCCCTCTGCAGATGACATGTCCACTCAGCAGGGAGCGCAGCTCCCAGGATGAAGCAGAAGAAGAAGAAGAGCGATTCCGAGTCGATGAAGATGATGAACGCTGCCGCTTCGAAGAAGATCTGCAAGAGCTGCTTCGATGGCAGCTGCCTTGAACCCCAACCGCACACAAACAGGAGGAAGCGCTCTTCAGCACTTGGGTGCCTACCCAGGTGCTGTTGCCAACGGAGCTGGTTGGGCCCCAGCTATGGCCGCCAGCAGCGTGTGGAGATGACGATGCCTGCGCTGCTAAAAATAGCAGCTGCCTGGCAAAACGCGACCTCCCCAGAACACTCGTGAAAAGAAAAGCAATGAAAAGACATGTTCCAAATCGCGGCCCGACTTTTTGTAGAATCAGTATCGAGCTACAGGACTGCTAGGACCTACGACAGGTCAAACAGCCACCTACAGCCTAGACGCACCTAGACAGCAAACCGACCTAAAGGAACTCCAAACGTACCTAAAACTCGGAGGGAAGTAGGGTAGAAGAAGACAAAAGGAACAGTCCACGTATCAGTCTAGATTCAGTCCCAGTAAAACAAACGAGGAAACTCCACATGTTTCCCTTTCGTTTTTTTATTTTTCCTTTTTTTTTTTGACAAGGCCTGGCTGGGCCTGCCGATTCCCGTTGCTGATCTGCTACTGCCTACAGAAAAGGACAAAAGAGACCTAAAGCTACCGGGACAAAGAGGAGTCCCAGTAAGGGACAGGTCAAGGGATCAAGCCCAATAGAGCTCAAAATATTACAAAAGTAATCTACGTAGTGGTACAGCCCGCTGCGAAACTGCAGTTCGTTTTTTTTCTCTTTTTTTAGGGTTTTTTTAACTTTTTTTTTTCTTTTTTCCCAGTTTATTGCAGATGAGTAGATCCAAAACCAAAGCAGCTTTTTTCCTTATTGCAGACAAGGAAAACGCATTTGACTTGAGACAATCAAAGAATGAAACAGAGCAAGCAACATGGAAGCACAATACATCCGCTTTAATCCCTTTCTTAACTGTAGTTACTTTGGTTTTCTTTGTCGCACCCCTTGCAGCTCCCCTTGTACTGTGCCTCCCATGTACTAGGCTGGCCATGTTGATTGTGGTTCATTGCCACCTGCCCACATCCCTGTATGCCCTTCGGCACACTTTCATAGTTACGAAAGGAGGCAGAGTAAACGGGGAGGTATACTCCTGTTCATGTTACTTCAGATCTTCAGCTTGTATTTCTTTGTTCTCTTAATGATGCTCATTGGTACGCATTTACTAGTGGCACATGTGTGTGTGTGACTGTGTGCGTGTGTTTTAGACTGTCAGCACAACAACCCCCTTTTCCACCCAGACGAGTACATCCAAACTTGAAACAGGTTTACCTTACAATCTTCTATCGACCTATATATCGTCAAACAGAGCTGCCCGGTAAACCGTATATATCGTCACATATCGAACAACTAACCGATTGCACTTTGCGAAGCAAATGAAAAAGATAGCAAACAACATGAAGCACACTGGAACCGTTGTTTCGCCTTTTCCTGTGTTCTTTCTTTCTTCTATCTCTATGCGGGGAGAGGGGGTGGAGGGGGAGGCATGGGGACTGGTGTCTGATTACCGATGAGCGTACAAATTTAGAATTGGGCGGTGCCGTGTGGTGGGTTGCTCCTGTTCCACTGAGGAGGAAGAGAACAGGTGCATAATAACTATGGTTTCCCAACACGGTAACATAGGCGTTGTTTTTTTTTTTACATGTAGGAAATAAGAACAAGCAAACACTGTCAGAGCTGAAATGCCTGTGCAGTGTGAAGAAGACACAGAAGAGTGTACAGCTCGGGGAAACGGGAGTCGCATGCAGTGGGCCATTACATGTGCAAATGTGAGGGAAGAGGAAGCAGCTATGGTCACCAAATAGGCACAAGCAAGCATTCTGAATGAAGGAGGAAGAAAAATCTGGACAAGAGCGACTATGGTCCAGGCGGATCGGAAAGACCGCAGACCGGTCAACAGAGAAGAGAGGCAGAGAGACAGAATATTATACAGGATCTAAACAAATCCACTCACCCACACATTTTTGTTTGTCAAAGTGAAATTGCATTTTTTGCTGAGTATGGATCCGGGCCGCCCGGCCGACCGGCGCCTGCCCGGGGGAGGTCCCGGGCGGCCTGGCCGGGCGGGCGGCCCGGTTGGGGGCCGGGCCCCCCCAGCACACCTTCACGGCGGGGGGTTTTCGACCCCGAAACGGGTCCATTTGTTGTTGGCAGGGCCTACTGGGTCCAGAGCCGTTCGTTTTTGGAGGGAAAAGCAAAGCCTCCTTTGAGCATGCGATTGCCTGGGGCGGTCTGCATCGGCTTTCAAAACGGGGCCTGTCCTCCAGCCGCCTGCCTTCGTCATTGCGTCCGTCCTTCGTCGAAGCAGCTGGGAGTCGTCGCCATCGCCTGGGAGAGCCGTCGCCCGTAGCCCATCGCCATCGCCATCGCCGTCGCCGTCGCCGTGACCCGTCGCCCCCCGCCGTCCATCGTCGTGCTGCTCCCTGCCAGCATCCACTGCCGCCTGTCGACGAGGACTGCCGGTCTGATCTTCTTCTTCTTCTTCTTCTTCTTCTTCTTCTTCTTCTTCTTCTTCTTCTTCTTCTTCTTCTTCTTCTTCTTCTTCTTCTTCTTCTTCTTCCCTCCT